GTTTACAAAGTGTGGTCCCTGGACCAGCAACACCCAGTGTCACCTGAGAACTTGTTAGAAATACCTGGCAAAAAATTCAAATTCTGTGACTCAGTAGGTCAGCAACACCCAGTGTCACCTGAGAACTTGTTAGAAATACCTGGCAAAAAATTCAAATTCTGTGACTCACTCAGACCTACTGAATCAGAAATTCTGGGGGTGGGGCCCAGCAACCTATTCTCATAAGTCTTTCAGGTGACATAATGCATACTAAAGGATGGGCTCAGGGGCAGGGAGGGCTAAATCTATAGGTTAAAGCTATCAGTGCCTACAACAGAGAAGGATGAGGCTTGCTCCTACCCTCACCCATACAATGCAATCTGTGGACAAACCACAGACACAAGAAACGTTACAAAAACAATGCAAGATTTTGACAGCAGTTCAAAGCAACATCAAAGAGACTTGACAATGACTTTATTGCCAAATGTTTCCCTTTAAATCCTTTCCGTAACCCCAGTATCTGCCTCCTTCTTGGTGTTGGCCCATTAGTGTTGGTCCAACACCAATTCCAAATTGTTCTGTTCCCTTTTCACCTCTTGTGAATTCTAAACAAAGCAGTGCTTTTGAAAATAATGCAATTAATAACTATTGCATTTTTTACAGTGCACTATGCCTTCTTAAGGACTTTTACATAGATCATGTTATTTGATCTTCACAATTCTCCTATAAAGTTTAACCTATTGAGAAATTTGTGTGCCAATTTAGAACCTTCTAATAAAGTCCCTGAATTAACAACCACTTTTTGAGAGTAGACTATATGAGGCACATTTATATGAAACTATTTCTAGCCCCTGCAACTCTGCAAGCTGTCCCAAGATAGCAAATATACTCAACTCAAGAATGTAGAAAATGCATTAAAACATATACCATGCATTAAAATGAAACATTAGCTATTACCTTAAAATGAAACATTAACTATTTCTTGAAGTATGCTAAATACTGTATAAAACATTACATTAAAATGAAACATTAACTATTTCTTGAAGTATGCTAAATATTGTATGGATTTAATACAGTGCTATATATTAAAAAAGTGATGATATTGTAAAAAAAAAAAAAAAAGTGATGATATTGTAAGAGAGAAGCTTTCATTTTCCAGTAACGAGGTGAAGGGAAGAGAATGACAATACAGTCATCCCTCAGTATCCTTGGGGGATTGGTTCCAGGACCCCTGTGCAAATACCAAAATCCTTGGATGCTGAAGTCCTTCTGTATCCTTGAGTTCTGTATCTGAAGATACGGAGGACCGACTATTACACGGCTTCAAAAATTCCTGTCCTAAACAAGTCTTTGATTTTTTTCTACAATGCCCTATGATATCTGAACATAACACATTTTTTTCTCCTGAAAAATCTAGTTACATTCAAAATTGGGATAATTCAATAGGACTTATAAGCTCTAAAACATCATTATTTTATAACCCAATAGAAGTGGTAACTATAAAATCCCCCCCATTCTTGCAGATTTCCTTGTTCCAGTTGCATTAGCTCTTCACCTCATGGGTGGTTTCTGTGGGAATCAAATATCTCAACCACACTGGCCTCTATGATGTCTTCATGGCTAAGGGCATTTGCAAAGGCCATGTTTTATTGAGTCTGTAGTACAGTTTCAGTTTGGAGGGAGATGTAATTTTTATGATCACTCATGGGACAGAAATTCTTCCCCAGAGCATGCTTTGTTACTGAATGGACTCTCTGCCAAGACCAGGCACTGGTCCAGGCTGCCCATGGTATTGCAGACTCACTAATTATAGGCTTATCCACTTTATTAGCTCATTGAGGGCACTGATGGGAAGATCTACACAGGCATTTAGGCTTGAGTGTGGCATTCACACCTTGATCTACTTTACTGGCTATGAAATACTCCTCCCTCAGATTACCGATAAATCACCTAAATTTACAGGGTGGCCTGGGGCATTATCTATCTGGGTTACAGAACTTCTGAACAAAAGCACAGAAAATATAAGTGAGACATCCTTGAGAATTACTCATCACTGCCCTGGCCTCCCTGTTAGATCACAAAATTACTCTCAGGTTAACCCAGGAGCAGTGGTGGGGAGCCCTGGGTTTTTCAGAATAGTAGACAAGTAAACACCTCAATTTAAAATCTTCCTCAGTGTGACCTCAGGTAATATTTGGCTGCTTTAACCTGGGGCACTGTTTTCTTCTAAAGAAATAAAAGTCTTTTCATGCAATCCTTTCCAGTCAAACTCTGTCTTATCAACTGAAAAGTTTGTTTCAATAAGGGAAGCCAATATGTTAGGCGACTTGCAAGACTTGTATGTGTCAGAACTGCCATCTTCTCTGTTCACCTTAATGCTCTGCAAACTATTCCTACCTTGGAATCTTACAAATCACTGTCTCCCAGCCACTAAAAATTTCCATTTCAAAACCATGACTTCTTTAAACCACAAGTCCCCAGTCATTGTGGCTTCTAAAAAATCATGATATTCATGCTAAACTATTTTTGATCCTTTGCACCCATATACACTCAACAAGTTTCCATCAAAATATTTTTATAATAAATCAATTTACTAGCACTTATAGGTATAAGTTCTCGACAATGTTTAAACAAATATTTTCTTGATTTTGTATAATAGAATGTTAAGGGAACGACTCCAAATTCCTTTTGCCATTTAGCCAACTCTTAATCTTCATCAAATTACCTTAACACTTCAGATTTTACTTTTAACTAATTGATGAACAGCTTCCTTTTCTTTTGGCATTTTTTTGCTGTTTGGCTTCTTTCCATCGATCTTTAGCACAGGTTTGAAACTGGTGTGAACATGCACTGCTGGTAACTGCATTTCTAGAACTATAAAAGGAAGGCTTAAAATTTTTGTTTTAGTTTCACTGCCTTGTTCTGCTCTGTTTGTTGCCTACTCAGCAAAACAGAGAACATAATCAACTAAAAAAAAAAAAAAGTCAAGAGTAAAGAAAGTAAAATAGAGCCTGAAGGAAGCAGGAATAAAGAAAGAAGCAGGCCAGATAAACTTTCAAACTTAAAAGCTAACTGGAGAAGTAAAATTCTAGGAACAAAGTTAAGCAAGATGGCCACCTGCCTGTTTCCAATATTCCCAGAGCCACAGAAAATTCGAGTCAATGTAAAGATGCTCTGTTGACGCTGTGGTAACCTAGGCTCCTCGTCTGCTCTGGCAGCTCGCCTGCCACAGTTAGAGGCTCAAAGCTAACAGCTTGTTTTAAAGATCAAATGCAGAAAACCATCATGAACAAAAAGAGGAATTCTGTCTGGAATGACAAAGCCGTTTCAAACTAACCCTCTTAAAAAACTTTAACAATACTACCAGACACCCAAAAGCACATATCAAGACAAATATGACTCCTAAGTTTTGAAAGTGAGCCATATACTGTATGCCACATACAGCAAAGGTACTAATGTTTTCATAGACAAAGATATCATGGCTTCCCGAATCCATTTCCAAGAAGTTTAAATGCAACAAGACCAGCCCATCACCATATTTTTTTATATTGGATGTTGGGTCAGTTTTCAATCAATTCTGGTTAGTTCTTACTCTCTAATTGCTGGGTTCCAGCTATTTATAATAGTAAGATCATGGATTTATGGACTAAATAAGTAGGGAAATGCCCTAAAGGCTGTTTTAAACTGATTGCTAATTTAATGTGCTAGAATAAATGTTCATATATCAAATGTTTGGCAAATCAAACAGACATATGTGCAAACAAAAGCTAGTCACACTTTTTCATGTATATATCTAATATAAAATATTTGGGTGCTGGTAACATTGTACATTGGCATATTTCATGTGTCATGTGTACCTGCACCCAAAATCTCTGTCAGATTTGGTCAGCCTTTCAAATAAATTTTAATCTAATCTCCTATGGTCTCAAAAAGCTGAGGCTTTGTTTTCTCCAAGAATACGTACCCAAAGCAATTGATAAAGGGCTACCAACACTGGGACAACATTAAGGATGTCTTGATGACTCTGACCCCCTTGAAATATTTGCTTAATGCCTTTTCCCCTGCATTTGGATCAGCTGAGAACTGTGAAGTTTAAAAAGTTATACAAGCTTGTCTTTCTCCTATTCCACTGTTATGCATCAGTAAATTCTTCATTCTTTATGGCTTATTAGGACTTTTAGAAAGAAAAAGCAATCTGCTGCCAAAACCTGGCTCTGGAACCAGATGGAGTGGGAGAAGAATTTGTAATTCACAGAAAACAGAAAATTCCCATTGTCTGGAATGTGGAGCTGGTGGGACTTTTGCTTTCATGTTCATAGCATGACAGTAAGAGCTTTCCATATATGAGGATGACTAACCAATCATGTTTGCACAAGTATATCACCATTATAGAGAGTAGAAAATGCACAAAAATCCAGGCTAAGAAAGTAAATGAAAAAAATAACATCCTTATTGCATATTAATCCTTTCTCATTTTTCACTGCTTACATAACATTTTTCTAGATGTAGAGTCATCTATTATTCAAACCTAGGCAGAAGGAAGCTATTCTGGGAGTGCCACCCCAACCCGCCTCCGCCAGTGGTTGACAAACATTAATGGACATTCTTACAAGTTGATTTACTGACGTGAAATTTTTTCTTAGAGACCTGGGGCTTCCTTTTACAATGCGAAGACAACAATGACTGTTCCATTAGGGGAAACATTTCCTTTGAGTCTAAATCAAATTAATAAATTTAAGATACCTGGGAGGGTTGGGTACACTGAACTTTGGGCAGAAGTCCAGAGCCTAAAGAGTTAATGCATTATTTTACTTTGTTTCCTTATGAGAAAAAACAGTCTGCTGCCAAACCCAGCTCAGGAATCAAATGCGGAGGATAGGAGGGGGATAATTTGCAGTCTGTTGATAAAGTGAAATACAGATGATCTTAGAAGCATTTTTATGTGTGCATTTCCATTAACCACAGTGAAGGGCCTAGAGACGGGTAATTGATGTGGTTGGGTCTGCCTTTGCTGACATTACCTGGATAGAGGTCAGGCCCGGGCCCTGGGGAGCATCCCACCGCCCTATCAGCAGCATCTCGTGGGGAAGTGGCGGGCTGCAGGGGCTGCACGGTGAGGCAATCTGTGAGCAGGTCAGGATGGAGCTCTGCACTGGACCGCAGCTAAGAGAAGGAGAAAACAGAAGACAGCTGGAAAAGGAAGGCGATTCCTTGGAATACTTTTCTGGAAAGGCTAACATGCTGTAAGGCTCAGGCAATTCAGTCCACAAATATTTATCAAGCAACAACTACAGGTTAGGCATGAGACTTACAGAGTCAATAAAAGCTTTCTAATTCTAATAACACCTCGCAGGTGTTTCAGGAAAAATGTGGCTAGAGGCAGATTTTACTTCAGTCCTTGATATTTCCACTTCTGGGAACCCAACTTCCTATTATATTTTCTTTCATTTGCTCTGTATCCTATCAGAACTTGTAGTGATAACAAAAACAAACTCAAGTGTATTCAGTCTGTATTGTAAAGTGCGCTTTTTCTTTTAGTTTTTTAAATTTTATTTTGTTATACAGCAGGTTCTTGTTAGTTACCTATTTTATACATACTAGTGTATATATGTCAATCCCAATCTCACAATTCATCCCACCACCACCTCCCCCTCCGTAAAGTGCTTTTAACATACAGAGATACTATCATGAAAATATCTTAGACATAATTAAGAATGTCCATTGAGATTTGATACCTGTAGATTTTACATGAGAGGAAAATACACAAGTTAAATTTTAAAATGTTATGGAACATGGTAACAAGAAAAAGCAAAGTCATTACAAGCAACAAACTATCCCAACAGTAGGTCACATTAAAAAATTAGACTTCATTTTATCACAATAACAAAATTAATTCGTTGTATATTAAAGAGCCATAAAAATGGCAGAATAAAGTACGGGTGCAAAGTTATCTAATTTCTTTATGAAAAAGAATTTTATAAGTGTAATTTGAATTGAAAAAAATCACAATGGAAGATTTAGTTACATAAAAATACCAACCTTCTGTTTGTCTAAAAACATAATATCTTCAAAAAATGTAGAAATATATTTCTTACAGATATTGCAAATAGTTATCTTCAGTGTTTAAAGAGAACATATAAATTGATTTTGTCTTCATCAAGATAAAACCAACCCTTTAGATACAGGGCTTGAGTCTCATTCAACAATTATTTATTGAGCATTAGACACTCCTCTAGACTCCAGAGATACTGCATTATGGAACTTATACCCTAGAGGGGAAGCAGATGATGAACAGTAAAATATATGCCATAGCAGATGGTGATAAATGCTATAGAGAAGAGTGATTCGGAGAAGGGAGACAGTGAGTAGGGATGAGGGATGGCAACCTGACACAGGGGGATCAGAGAAAGTCTGTTGGAGATGGCACTGGTAAAAAGCCTTGATAGAAGTGAGGGAGTGAGTCCTGCAGACATATGGGGGAAGAACCTGTTGCTCTGTGGTGTGCCTGGATTATCTGAGGGATAGTAAGGCAGACGTGGAGGGAGTCTGGGGCTTGGAGTAGAGAAATAGAAAAAAGCCGAGATGTAAGTGGGGGAGAGAGGGAGCAAATTTAGTGTCCCTCTCTGTCTTCCTCCCAGATGAGTAGACCAGAAAAGGGCCTTCCAGATCATTTAAAGATCCTAAACATTCCCTAGTCCAGGAATTATCAAATGAGTGAGGAGGGAGGCACACAGCAGAATCTCCTGGGAGGGGACTGACTCACTATGCAGCCCTTGACATGAACAAAAATTTTAAAAAGGAGAAATAGAAATGAAAATAAACATAATGTTTGGCACAACTGTAAAGAAATGCAATGCTAAACATTTTTAAAAAACTTATCTATTTTACATTTGGTAGTGTATATATGTCCATGCCATTCTCTCACTTCGTCCCAGCTTACCCTTCCCCCTCCCCGTGTCCTCAAGTCCATTCTCTACATCTGCATCTTTATTCCTGTCCTGCCCCTAGGTTCTTCAGAACCTTTTTTTTTTAGATTCCATATATATGTGCTAGCATGCGGTATTTACTTTTCTCTTTCTGACTCACTTCACTTTGTATGACAGAGTCTAGGTCCAACCACCTCCCTAGTGGGAAGCAGCTGCAATGCACGGGGAGATCAGCTCAGTGCTTTGTGACCACCTAGAGGGGTGGGATAGGGAGTGTGGGAGGGAGACGCAAGAGGGAGGGAATATGGGTATATATGTATACGTATAGTGGATTCACTTTGTTATACAGCAGAAACTAACACACCATTGTAAAGCAGTTATACTCCAATAAAGATGTTAAAATAAATAAATAAATATTCTACATATTAAAAAAAGAAGAACTTATCAAATTATCCAACACTTTAAAAAATAAGTAGTTGTAGTGAAGGTAGAGTGAGAGAAGCATTCTCAAACACTGTTGGGTGGAGTGTATACTGTTTCAAACTCTCCAAATGGTACTTGGGAATATTTTTTTCAAGACCCATAATTGAAATCATTTGTTCTTAGAATTCGCCTTAAGGAAATAGCCAGAAAGGTGAAGGAAGATTTATACCCAGTGCTCTAGTTTGATATATAGCATTATGGTTACATTAATTTGATGGAATATTATGCAACCATTAAAATGATGTTCATGAATATAAAAGCAAAACACAAAATTACGTATACAAAATGATAACAATTACATTAAAACAAAGACAAAATACTGTAAGGAAATGAATCCAATATTAAAAGTGATTTTTGTTCTTAGCAGCAATATCATGAATTTATTTCCTCTGTTTTCTTTTTATCCTTTCCTCTGCTTTCCAAATTTTCTACATTCCAATGACATGTTGGAGCTGGCTTGCACCAATCCAAGAATACCAATTGTGTCTACTTTTTCCAAACTTTACTTGCAGTGATGTCATATTGATAGCTTGAAATTGGTCATGGTGATAGCATTTACACATTTATGGAAATTGACAAATGCTACAAACTGGGGCTTTTTCATCTGGAAAGCTGGTTGTTAAGCACTAGGAGCGCACCACCGACAATGACTCTGATCAGCAAGAAAAACATACACACAGGTACAAAACATCAGTAAGTTACTATTTAGAGAGCAGTATTTCTTGGAACTGAAAAAGCTTCCTGAAGAGACAAACACATGTCCAGGTCTTAGTCCAAGAATATGAAAAGGGCACAGTGACCCTAAGTATAGGGAAGAAGCGTTTAACACATGTAGTGAACAAGACATAATTTCCTCAGCTTAGCCATATTGGAATGTCTGACCAAGACTATCTGAGTTAATGCCTAACCCTCTCAGGGGCTTTGGAAGGTATGTTTGTTATTTTGGTACTAACCTAACACATGCCACGTAAGAAAAACTGGAAAAAAATCAAGGCTTAGAATGAGTTCTGGTGATCACTTTTAATTTATCTTTCATCGTTAAAATGTGATCTGGGGCCCACATGTTCTACTAAGAGTAGACATGAACATCTCTCTGCTTTCTATTACCAACTATTCTAGGGTTTTACAGATATGAGTACTGATGAGGTCTTTCTAAGGAATTTCACAGCCATGGTTACTCCTGGATCCAAAGGCAGGCAATTCTTCCTTAGCTGTGACAAGTATTCATGTGTTCCAAGAGTGTGATTCCATACAGCTTTGTGGTGAAAGTTAATTTGGTTTTCTCTGGGACTAGACATGGTTCTAGAAAGTGCTTCTTAAATTAAATAAGCCTTGAGGACCTATTTTTTTGCAGAAGGTCCTCAAGCACCTTATGCAAAATTTCCAAAGGAGGGCCATATGCATAGAAATGCAGTAATGATATGCAAATTTAGTATCCCTCTCTCCCTCCCAGATTATTAGACCAGGAAAAGGCCCTCCGGATCATTTAAGGCTCTTAAACATTCTCTAGTCCAGGAACTGTCAAATGGGTGAAGCAGGAGGCACACAGCAGAATCTCCTGGGAGGGATATCTTTCAATATACTATGGTTTTATATTTGGAGTAAGAAACCCAATTATTTATATAAAACAACATCTTCTTAGCTCCTAGGAATATAAAAAAGAAAGAGGAAAGTTTTTCAACGGGGATGGTCTTTAATTGTGGTTCTCAAACCGGGACATGCATCAGAATCACCTGCAGGCTCCAATGCAGAGCTAATGATCCATTGGGTCTGCAGTTCATTTCTGGAAAGTTCCCAAGTCATGATAATGCTGTTATCTGGGAACCACACTTTGGAACCACTAAGAATCCTGATGAGAAGATTCTCTAAGAATCCTGATTATAGAAGAGCTGAGATTTTTCTGGTTATGAGAAGAGGAAATGAATTGTAGAAATAAGGAATTACAAAAACCAAATTGTCCTTATGACATGAACCTCATGTAACCATTTCTTATTATGTCTCCCTTCAGACCTCATAATAATAAATGGTTACATGAAGTTCATTTCTTAAGAACAATTTGGATTTTTACCCTTTCACAGGGATAAAAACGGTTAAAAAATGTCAATCCATTTTAATACCTGCCCTTAGAGGACAACAAGGACTTGCCCTTTATGGAGCCTTTACTGCTCTTTATAGAAAGAAGTGGAATTTGAACAACCACTCCCCCTGCCCCACTCATCAGTTCATCTATTTTAAGGGGCTGTTGTGTTGCACAACACCAGGGATGTTTATTCATATTGCAATCTATGTGAATGGCAGCCCTGGAGTCGTTCAACTCAGCTGCCCTAACCACACCCTATCAGTTCTTGAGTAACAACGCCCTTCTTTATCCTTCCCTTTCATTCACTGAATTAGTATTTCTTGGGCCTCAACCATATGCCAGACACTCTTCTAGGGGCTTGAAATACATTCGTAATCAAAACACACAAAGATCCCTACTGAGAAGTCTATATTCTAGAGGAGGGAGTAAACAGTAAATAAATGAACTAAATAAGTAAGTTGTATAGAAGGTGGTAAGTGCTATGGAAAAAAGAAAAAAGGAGAAGGGTTGGCAGGATTGTTAACGTTGGGGAGAACTGTGGTCTTGTTGAGAAGAGATTCAAGCAAAGACTTGAAGGAACTGAGGAAATTAGCTAAGTACATATCAAGGGGAAGAGAGTTCTAGAATTAAGAGGCCAGCGAGGCTGGAGTGGGGTGTGACCTAGAGAGAGAAGT